CGTATTACTCACTCTAATCCCAAGTAACCACAGAACAAAGGTCCGTCCTGCCAGTCATCGTCTCCGCATACTGTGCCCCATGTGCCGAGGAGCATCACTTCCAATCTTCCGGAACTAGCGTCCGTGCCATTAGCAAGTTGAACCTTGAGCTCGTCGTCTGCAAAACAAACATTATATCAATAAAGGAAGCTGTTTGAATATCAGCAGACCAGGGTGGTTAATAAAAAAACCGCTTTATGTATTTAATAACTTTTAAGCCCAAGTTCTAAAGATGTCCACATGCAACTAAAACAACATGCAGACCGACTACTTTCTTAACAAATATGAGAATATGACAAAGTAAACTGAATTTAAACTAACTTAGAGGATTAGCTTGATGCAGGTAGAATCTTAACTTGGGATGTAACATATTGTAAGTGAAGAGGCAACCTAGAGGTTAAGGTGTCTGCCTCTCAACCCAGGGATCATGGATTCGAGTTCTACTTTGGTCACGACCATGTTTCCTCATATAGCACAAGTACCGGTTAGTTTCAGAAAGCGGATGCAAACGTGATAAATGTAAGGTGCAAATACTTGTTTCGCAATCAAGTTTAGACTAACCTACTGTCATCATAAAAATAAAAAGATAAAAAAACAGCAATAACATGAACTACGGTCCGTTCTTCCACCCTTAAAGCAGGATGTTTATTTGTGTGTTTTTTTCCATGAATACTTTAACGTCGTTCCAACAAGTTAAAAAGTAGTTAACTGAACAACTTTATTATATATAATAAACAAAACGTAAGACACTGACCACTAAAAAATACTTAAAACATTTTTTTTACTGCGTCAGTAACACTTTATTTTTTTTTTTATTTCAGTGCCTAATACAATGATAACATCATTTGGATTGTTGATATGTATACATTTTTTACCTTGAACCTTCATTTAGTTTAACCTCTGCACAAGGACCCTTTGCAAAGAAATTAACTTTCTTTGACAAATATACCAACTTCCAAAACTGAGAATTCATATTAATTATAATTCACTATATAGCGTAACACCTTTCTGCAACTTTGAAAAATATTTTTTTCTCCCAAACGGTTGTCCTTCATTTATTTCTGAAGTTCATTACAGCACAATTATGACCATATCTTGACGTAAACCACAGATTTGAAGCTATTTTAACATTGGTCAAATCCGCTTTAACGTCTAAAGATATCTATTTAAAAGTCCATAGCAAAATGGAAAAACAATAGACATTCAGAATCATTCAAACTCCCTACGTAAAATGGTACAAATAATGCTTGTTATTCATGATTCTTGGGGGTCAACACAAAAATCCGGTAGTAATTTTTGCATATTCATACAGTTTTTTAGAGAGACATGCTTCCGTTTTTTATACTATCAGTTGCTTTTTGTGAATTACCGGTAAATTCAAATCGACTCGAAAAGGGTTTCGATTTGTGCTATAGGAAATTAGCCAGTAAGGGAAATACTGAACGCATTTTCCATAAACGTAAAACAGTAAAAACAGAAAATGCTATGTCTTTCAATGAAGTACTAGACCCTACCCGTGCAATCCAATCCAACGGTTCCAAATTCAGCAAATTCTGTGAAATCAGAGTCCCCCTCATTTTTCCACATGTAATCGTTACATGTAGCATTTGAGTGGCAAAGAATATCATATTCTGTGACAGAGTCCTTGCTGAGTCCATTTTTGAAAGATGGCACACCAAAATAATCGCCGTATATAGGAAAACCAAACCTCCTGAAATTGATAAAATCAAACTAAAAATAACAACCAATCACTATCGTTTAAAATCGTAACATCTGAATGACGGTAGCTGGCGCCCGGCGCGTACAGTTTTTATATAGGTATGTTTTGCATGTTTTATTATAATTGCTCTTTGTCTACAATTTAAGAACATTATTTTTACATAAAAACATTTTTTAATAAAGGGCAAAAGGGCTGAACAACAATTTCTAGCAACATTAGCAATTGTCCATTCCTTAAGCATTATAAGTTATAAAAAGGAAAACATGTTTTTAAAACACTATACGCATGAGCAGAAACAACGATTAAGACGGGTACAAATATAAAGTAGCAAAAATAACTCGACATTAAATTTAAAAGAAATAGAAAAATGAGCATTTGCTATCTATTTTTATATCAAATTTAAAAAAATCATTAATTAAATCAAATGCACCTCTTATTTCCTTGTAATAAGATTATGTAATGATATGATTAGCGAGTTCACTAGAAAACTTTCAAACTTTGTTTTTTTGTTTTTTCACCTCTTTTCAATATTCCCAGAAAATAAAATTTAATTGTCTGGAGCTAGTTGCCCATGTGGTTGTCAAATTAAATTATGAATAAAATACTTATCACTTCAGGTTACCATAGTTTGGAATGTTACAATAATTTTTTATTTGTCCGACCGATTTGATGATAACTTTATGTGCCCCTCTTTTAATGAAAAAAAAATAGAATCCATTTCAAATTTTTATCTCATCATCATTATTATAAACGAAATGATATTTATTAATTTCGCATAGGCGAAAGTTAAAATTGTAACAGGCTCATAAGATAACTTACTTACACTTTTTTGTGTCATGTCTTAAACAGACTCGCGTTTCGTTGCTTTGTCCTGCCTTCCTTACCGTAACATACCATACCGTGCCTTACCTGTCCTAACCTTACGTTACCTTTCGTTTCCTTACCTTGATGTACCTCATCTGATCTTACTTTACCCAACCTAATCTTACTATATCATACATTATCTTGCTTTAACTTTTATCTTACCTTATTTTATCTTACTTTACCTTACCATACCATACTTTACCTTATTTTACTTTACCTTATCTTATCTTATCTTACTTTACCTTACCTTATCTTACTTTACCATATCTTATTTGATCTTAACTTACATTATCTTACTTTACTTTGCCTTACCTTATCTTATGTTATTTTACCTTACCTTATCTTATCTTACTTTACCATACCTTACATTATCTTACCTGAACTTACCTCACTTTACTTTACCTTATCTTATCTTACTTTACTTTACTTTACCTTACCTTATCTAATGTTATCTAACTTTACCTTACCTTACATTACCTTACCTTAACTATGTAATAAAATCTATACAAGTCTGTGAAATTACACTTGAAATCTATTTTAATGTTTGATAAAACATTGTCATACGATATATTCAAAATGTCCCGGCATATGATTGTTGCGTCAGCTACTGACACGGAAAATCCGTAAACAACACCCCAGGTGCCGTTGCGATAGACCTCAAGCCGACCGGAAGTTGATGTACCATTAACAAGTCGAAAACGCCATTCGTCTGAAAGAAAATAAAAAATCTAGTGTCCTTGGCATTGATTATATGTATATGATTAGTAATAAAGTGTTTTGACAGGTTATATGGCCTTATATAATATATAAACGCCTGTTTGAAAATATAACCAAAGTTGCTATCTGAGGGTTATATTGCAAACGGCCTTTTATATACGTCATATAACCTAATACAGCAATCGTCCTAAACGAAATGAAAAATAGCCAAGTCATACATTGACAACAGCCGTGTATAGAAAATTATATAATTAGTTGGCTGAATATATAACCCGAATTGCGAGGTTCATATGACCTGGGAAGAATCTTTATAACGAATTTATATTACAGTAAACATCCATTTTTTTAAAAGCAAAAATGAATTTTCCACGTGTACTTTCAATAAAATGTCACAATGATTTTCATTTCTGTTGCTTAGAATTATTAAATTTTAAAAATGAAATTCAATCCTTGATATTTACCTGGATTAGGTGTCGTAGTAACTGTGGCGATGACTGGGGGAGCTGAACTAGATGACGCAGCTTGGTAAGGTGTGGTTGGTATTGTCGCTAATGCAATAGAGGGGAGGGTGAATGAGAGTCCTGGTCCAACCATTGTAAGAATGCCTGGTACTGGAGTTTCGAGCGTTATGTAAGTAACGTTAGCTGTAGCGAATATTGTGAGATTTACTTAAAAGTCATTATAACGGCTACAGTACTTACTACAACGATTATGACTTATAATCGAACATTCATTAAAGTGGAACCAAATCACCGATGATCGATAACAATATACATGTTAATAAACGATAAATTTATGTGAATGTATTGCGAATGTATTGATAAACAACAACAACAAACAAGAAGTATATTTACAAAAGATGCTCGAACGAGGCCAAACTACTTTTATTTGCATATGTTATTCCGGAGTGTCATCATAACATTTAACGATCAGATTAAACATATTTATTTAAGCTCGATTGCGAAACAAGTTCTTGCAAAAGTTCTTGCAAATTCCTGTAACCAACCAGCACTGGTGTCATATGAAAACCCGAGTAGGGCTGGAACCCATGATTCCTAGGTTGAAAGGCAGACACATTTACCACTAAGCCACCGCTCCGCTTTAATGGTTAAATGATTAAATCAGTGAAACACTGCAAGATATGTTTTTAAATTGAACTGTCATGTGTGTATACGGGCGTTTCAATGTACACATTAATACGAAGATAAGCTAAGATAAGATAAGATAAGAAGATAAGATAAGAGTAAGCTTCATTTATATTCAAACATCAATACTCACTTAATTTAATGTATTTCGGTATTCTATATACGTGTGTTCCCTATCTCGTTATTTTGGGCAAAATTATATAATGTCTATGTCATAACTTTTACCTTCACTATAAGATAAATAATGAAATTTTAAAAACATTTTCTAGGGTTTTCATTTAGACATATTGGTATAATTATTCCTAAAAATAGAATTTCTTTAAACTTGGCATTTTGTTAGAATGTGATGATAGTTACATTTTAAGCGAAACAAATTTCGAGGTCGCCGTTCTCACTTATCTGAGTTATCTGCCCTTGTCGTTCCCTGTCGGCACAATATTAAATCCCAGGAAAAAGTATCCAAGGTACGAGCATCTGAATATGACTTTTCTATCATTATCGATTTCCTTGCCGACACAATAAATAAACCCCAGCTTTAATTGCAATTTTCATATGATTTTGAATTAAGACCATTGCAAGTAGTTCCCAAGAACTACTTTGTATTACGGGGCTATCAGGATTGAATGCTATCAGTTCACGAGTCATGGGTTATAGACACAGTTATTTGCCCTTGGTTGCCCACAAAACGAAGGTAGTATCACAAGAAATGGTGCATATATTTGATGCTGAATATTTCTGAATTTTTTAATGAAAGACATAGGAAAAATGTGTAATTTAACAGATGAGATAATTATGCTATGGTTGATAAATATGAATTTTGAAACAATTTGAATGTTAGCATATGCAAAATGATCATTTTGACAGGGACATTTTGCCTGTTTTCGGTCGGCATGACAATACATCTTTATGCACAATTCTTTTTAAGTGAAGATTTAAGAAAAGGGGCCGGTTCCCCGATTATTTCCGATATTCAATAATGAAGCTAGACCAAATTTAAAATGGCTTCAGACCGATAAATGCAACAACCGGACAATCTATAGTGAGTCGAATCAAACAAATTGAAGGCCGTAGTTTCCGGCAAAGGACACTGTTCTTCTATAATAGAAGTACTTATTACACACATTACGTTCCATATAAAAATTCAGGTACACAAAGTTGCGAGACAGATAGACGCGAAGAAGTAAATGTTTTAATGAGTAATTAAATTTACCAAAGAGGTAAATTGTTTACCTTTCATATAGAACCGGTATCCAGAGTTGTTTTCAAAGGCACACGACAGTAAGGAGCGGTTAGAGGTTCCGTGACACTGACAATGACCCTCCAATTCGCTGTAAATTAGACTGCTTCCATAATGGTTACATAACTGTATGCACGTGCCCAGACTTGGTACGTCATTTCCGGAATATGAGATGTCGGCTGCGCAAAAATGATTGTCCATGTTGGAATCCGACCTGAACTTGGTAATCGGTAGACTTTTGCCACTGCTCCAAACGAATGAGCCTGTAATAACTGGTGTAAAAACCGGAACCAAGAAAATGGTGAAACGTATTCTCTCATTAATTGTAAACATTTTTTCAATGCGTAGATTTTTATCCTTTATAAAAGAAAAAAAAACTTGGTTTTATCTTTTTATATTTTTTAAATAAAAATTAGCAGATAGTTCACAGATTCCAGATAGTTCTCCTTGTTAGACCTAGTCAGCGACTGCTTTCTGTAACAGTGTGGGCCACATGTTATTAAAGATCGATCGATACCCATTCGTTGTGAAAATATTTTTGAAGAAAAAATCAACTTTTGAAAGATTGATGACCGATTTGTTATGATAAATAGTGTGGTTTTAATATAAACAATAGTTTTACATACTTAAAATATAATTGATTATCAAAATATGTCCTTCCACCGGTCCATTTGAATGACGTCATATCCGGCTTTTAAGACTAATGAACGCCAAATACAAATATTTTCATGTACGCGTATTCCCTTTTGTTATGATGTCTAAATCTATTTCTATTTTATTAATATATCCGATATAACCTTAAATAGATAGATTTTATGTGCCTGTAATTATCGATGAGCATCTCTTGCCTTTGCAGTCATTGATGAAATTTAGTTCTAAGCCAACCAAGGTAAAGTCGTAAAGAGACTTAAAGGGACTGCACTGATGTTTTCAGAAATGATGTGACTGGAAATATATTCCAGAAATATATACACCATTTGATGTAGGCCTGGACCAATAACTTATTACAATTTTTCAGATGATTTCCTCACTCTGTGTTCCAAGTATGATGATTTCTGATTTGCAAAATGACCAAAAAATAAACGTTGCCAAGCTTGTCACTTAATTTAAAATTGTGTGAATTTCAATGGATTTTATTTTATATTTACATGTATATTAAGTCAATATTTATTTCATGTATAGATGTAAAGCTTGACTGAGAACAAAACTATATTTTATTTCTTTTTCCGATTCCTGGACGTAAGCAGTGTTGGTCCCATGTGATTTTACTACAGCAGCAACAACAACAAAAGAAACGAAGCAGACGAAAAATCAAACAATTTATTTTGCATTATCTCAGATATAACAATCGCAACATCTATATATGTGTGTGTGTGACAAGAAACTGTGTATATGAAAGTGATATGCATAATATATTTACAATGAAAAGGAATGTATGTCAACAGGAAGTAGGTTAAATGTCATATATTTTCGCGATTTGTTTTTCAAAATGTCAAATAAAACAGCATTGAAAATGTCAAATTATCAGGTAAAATAGTTTAACCATTTATAATGACGAAGTGCACAGTGTTTTAAAATGCTCGTTTAAATAGTACAATGTCAAACAATTAAAACAAAAGAATTACTAAAATCATAAAATATATGAAAAATGTAAATAAAGAACAGCTTTATAAAAGCTATTAATGATATAAACATTATTCCGCTCAATAAAATGTGCCTTTTATAAATGAATATATGAAGATCGCATGTGACATTCTATACAGAATAATAAGAGGATATATTTACATTTGAGTGAAATATACAATATATTTTCACGAGCCATCTTGAACTGTCTATAGAAAACATAACTACATACTTTCTGATAATAAAATGAATAGCTAAAGGTACTGACTTGTCGCAGAAAAATATCAGAGAAAGTAGTCCCAAAATAAATACGAGATTTGACTTCGCCAACTTTCATATTTATTTTTCATACTTGTTTTCTTTTTTGAAACATAACTGCTGCTGTATCAGACATAATTGCTGCTGTAACAGACATAACTGCTGTAACAGACATATTTGCAATAACTGACATAATTAACAAAGTTATATAATTGTAAAAGTAACATATATTACCCAAAGCATAAAAAAGAAGCCATTTCAAAACAAAATTAAAGCATAAAGCATAATCAACAATGGCTTGGTCTAGTTCCATAAATAATCAGTTTAATAATTATATTGTTGTGGTCTATATTGTTATATTGTTAGAACTAATAATGGCTAGATTATATACGGAATGATATCTGCTAGTCCTACAGAATATATCGATAATAAGTCATTATGTATTGAAGGTTGAGCTTCGAATCAATCGTTAAATACCACACCATATTTGTTTGTTAGCAGTTTTGATATCTAAACGTTATACGTATAAGCTATGTATAACAATATGTTATATATATGCATTTCTGTAATAACTGTTTCATTATGATTTATATACGTTAGAGTAAAAAGGAAAGCTATGATATAAAAATAATAAACTTTCAGGAATCATAATTTCTTGGCTTTGGAAGCGAATCTTTCTATCAATGCTGAAATAAGTCAGAAAAAAATGCGATATACATTTGTACATTGTCCATCATCACAATTGTCATGTGAAGTGAAGCACCAAAGCTAAAACTGTAAAGTTTTCATTTTAACTTTTACGATTCGCTAAAGCATTATCTTTCACAAATCAGTTTGAAATATCCCCTTCTAAATAGCATTAAATTTGCTAGTATATTTATACTTATACTATTTCGGGTATTAAATGTTGAACAGTAATTTGAGGAAACAAACAAATACTCGTGCATACAGCCTTAACTATCTTAAATGGAAATGACAATGATACGCATGTAATTTTTATCATAAATAAACATTAAAAAATATTATTATACAAATTGGAGGCTTACGTAATATACCGGATTTTCACAAGAAAAAATAGAAACGATTAAATATTTAAAAAGCAACTAAAATTTATTCCGAAAAAATATTCCGAAACGGTATTTAAAATTGATTTAAAAATGTATAACCAAGAAAGAAATTAAAAATTAAAAATATAAAAATAACAATATTTTACTCCGACTTTTAACATCGAATTTGAAAACTTGAAACTTAATATTTAAAGACCTGTAAGATACCCTCGGTCAGATTGTTAAAATAAGTTTATCTGAAGTTGAAGACAGAAAAAAAATAGCATAACATCGTTGCTTGGAGAAAATAAGTGTTTATCACCAATGAAAGGCACGACATTTTGAGCGCATTCTATCTAAGAATAAATAAATAAATCTACCTACTGCTAATAATTAATTTTACATCATATATTATATACCAAACAATTGAGCAAATGTATCATTATTTGTGTTAACGGTAAAAGACCCCTACTGACAATTGGCTTATGCGCTAGGTCTCTGTACACCAACATGTACAGTGATTTGATTGGCACAGAACCGAATTTTACGGTTATCCCTATGTTGTCAATGAGGTATCTTTAATTACACACGGTAACCTAGGCCTCGTTTCATAGACAGTCTTTATGTGTATTCTTTGTCCTCCGACACAAAACCAACTTGAGGACTAACTTAAGACCGTGCCAATAAATGTTTTTACCCTCAGTAAAAGACCACAGGTTATAAATTTAATTCATTTCCGGAGATAAGTTGAGAAATGCAATGACAAACTATTTTATTCGCAATGAATGTGTTATTGGTCATCTGTGTTGCTATTTAGAAATTAAAATTATGAAATAGGATCCATAAAATTCAGACGTTTTCTTTGAAACACAAAATTGTTTCAGTTTTGGTCATAAGACCGATTTCAGACTTAGGACTTTCTATGAAACGCAACCCTGAACAACGCGGTTGGTTTGCAATTTCGGTTCCTGTAACACAGGAACGGTAATTACACGGTCACATCAGTAACACGGTAAATGAAATTACTCGGTAACCGTTACACGAATAGACCAATATTTGTGAAATTGTGATGATAGAGTAGTGCAACTGTAGCTAAACGGTTATTAAGTAAAGTAATTACTTGTAATTGTAGCGACTGTAGCTAAACGGTTATTAAGTAAAGTAATTACTTGTAATAGTAATTATACGCTGTAATTAATGGCAACTGCCAATTGTCAGTAAAGGTCAATTACATTACAAATGAGTTATCTACATGTTTCTAAATGGATATCATATTTCACACTATGCATGTTATCACTTTCTTTAAACTACATTTCCAAAACTAAAATTTCTAAAATGACAAAAGTTAAAATAACAAAAAATATATATATAACGAAATAAAACAGTATTCATAAAATAACCATTATGATATATATAATCGGAGATAACATAGTAATTGTAATAATGTAGTAACAATAATTAAAACCATAACAGTAATGATATGATTTGATTATTACCGTAATTATTACAGAGCAGAAAATGACATGGTAACTGTAGTTTCACTGTTGCGGAAATGAAATGGTAAAATTGAAAACTCGGTAATTGTAATTTTGATGTAACTGTTAATATATAGTAACAATAACAACACGTGAACTGTAATTACACTAAAACTGTAATTTCATGATAACTATATATTAAAAAGTAACTGTAATTACATGGTAATATACAGAACATAATTGTGATTTCAGTGTAATTACAATTGTAATTTCTGTTACTTCACAGTAATATTTACATGGTTACCGGCATTACAATATCACTGTAATTGAGACCATGATAACATTTCAAGTGCGAATTACTAATAGACTTTAAGGATAATTACACGATAAATTTATTACACACCTCGTGAATTTATCAAATAAACTTTTTAGCGTTTAAATCGTGCCGAATCTTAGCCTCGTTTCCATTTCTAGAGCCTAAAAGTCTATATCAAATGCATATCGTACCCCATATAGCCCCGTTTTCACTTTCAGAGTCCAAAAATAGCAAAATATCTATATTATGCAAATCGTACCCCGTATAACCATCAATTTCAGATTTCAAAAACTATATATCAAATGCATGCCCTGCTCAATCTAGCCTCATTTTCGTTTTCGGAGTCCTAGCATTTATATTAAATACTTTTTGCGCTTGAAGCAACAAGTCCTGTCAATTATCATGTTTGTATTGAATTTATAATTTAATTTAAATTTATAAAGGCGCTTATTTACATCTAAAATTTAGCAATTAAACCTGTGCTTTTAACAGGAAATTTAAAATCACCTTCATATTTCATACCGTGCACATCTATACAAGTGCTGACACACAAATAGAAACATAATGTCTTCTCATTTACACTGTGAATACAAAAAAATAAAAATATAGTAAGCTTGAAATAAAAGAAAATGTAATTGTAATGCAGTGACAGAGATAATATGATAATAGTAATTAATAACTAAGTGTAATATTACAATTACTGTAAAAATGTGACTATATCGAGCAACTGTAACTACACAGTTACGGTAAGAAAGGTATAAATGTCATAAAAATGTAAATGTAGTTACCTAATAAAGTAAAATGTCTGTTTCATCACTAACAACTAAGTAATATATAAAAATATAACAAATCCCCATATTTCACACTCATAATACATTTGTTTCTGAAACAGATATACTATCTGTACTATTTACTAAGTTTATCTGAGTACCGTCTGTGATTTTGTTTTGATAGGAATGTTATTTTCATCCTTATCAAATACTTGAGACACTATTGCGGAAATATTTTTTCAGAGCGTGACCTAATTCTGTCATGTACCAAGAGGCTAAATGTAAATTATCTAATGTACATGTAATTCAACGGTAGTCGTAATAATGAAGGTAACTGTAATTAATTACAAATTACACAATATCTAACAATTGTCAGTACAGGATCATTACAAAATAAATAAATGTACCGCATGCAATATGACAAGTGTATGTTCCGCCATCAGTAATATGATTATGCCTTTTATAAACTTATGAATGAAATATTGAGAAATATTCATGAAGCAAAATGCATATTTTCATTTTCCTATTTTCACAGTTAAAATTTATGTTCCACTGCAGTGAAACATATTTTCCGTATTTTCACTGGTGTCTTACCGGACTAATTTGTTCTTAATTCAGCCATAATACAAAATTAAGGAGAAGTTTAAAGAATTGTTAAGGTCAAAAAAGGAGAAAAGTATATAATAAACAGAAAATTCAAGTTTGTTTCTATTAATACAGGATTTGTTTTCGTCTTGTGGTTATGAAAATTATCATATTTCACTTGTGGCTACCGCCACTCGATAAACATTTATTTTCATAACACTCGATGAAAATAAATCCTATATTTTTAGAAAAAAATGAATATCCTCTTTATATTAACAAATCTAGTCTTTCTTACTGTTTTTGTCAGCTACATTTTGTACATTTATAGGTAAACAATAGAAATAAAAAAAATACAAAGAAAAAACAATTTCTTAAAGAAAAAAAATGTTGTAAAAATACTATTATCACAAAAATATTTCGAATTCTAGGACTCATAAATTTATGTCATCTTGTAAATATTATTGACCAATTAAAATGTTCAATAAAGTAAAAGCGGTTTCCGTTATATAAGCTCAAATAATAGAACCTTCCAAAATCAACGAAATAAAAAAAAAAGAGAAAGTGATTTCTTAATAACATAAATATTTGAAAACGGATCAAATAGTAGCAAATGCCTAAATTTACAACACTGGTGATTAAAATATAAATCTATAGACTGGATGTATTTATAAATAATGATTTCTTTTTAAAAGAAAAAAAGGATGTGGCCCTTTTAAAATAAATAATCATAGGCAGAAAGTTGTCAGCCAAAGATGGCATTGGAACAGTGTTGAGTCTTTATACACTGTCTATAGTAATAATACACGGAAGTCATTTGACTCGTTAATATTATGTTGTCACAAGGTAAATTTTGTCATTCAAGAAAAACAGATAAAAAAATATATACGTTATCTGCTAAAGAATAGTGTAAATAATACAGACTAAAGTAAAACCTTTATTAAACGTTTAAAACTAATAAAAATATATAACCATTTAAGATTTCTCCTCAAAGTAAAACTAAATAATCATACATTAATAATTTTGCTGCAGTTGGAATGCTATTTTCCTTAAACTTTGACTAAGACACGTGAAAAAATAACACTTAAGCATATGGAAAAAATAAATGACTATGATATTATTATTTATAATATTTCAAACATTGAAAATAAAACATTCTATTTTTTTAAATTAAGAAAAATTATTGAAATTCTTCATTATTTGAACAAATTGATAAAATTATTACTTCTGCAGCGGGTAAAACGACAAACTTATATCACAATTTATTTATCAGTTCATAAAAACAAATCCCCATATTTCACACTCATAGTTAATATTTCAGACACCCAGTATAACACTACTCAAAGTTTATTTGAATTGCTGTCTGTGATTTTCATAGGAATGCTGTTATCATCCTTATCAAATACTTGAGACGTGATATCGGAAGTGCTTCTAAGAGCGTTGCTAAATTCCGTCAAGTTCACGTCAGTTTCCGACGTCGGTGAATTTTCTACAAGACCTTTATTTCTATGCACGTCATTTATTGAACCGGAACATGATGTATGATATGAACATGTCTCAATGTCATCGATGATATCACAGGCCATGCCCTCTCTTTCGTCTTTTTCAGATATCCCGTACTGCACGTGCGTGTAATACAGGACAAAGTTACTGACTATAATTGGCACGGTGAACGCGATCATAAGTAGACCGGATATAGCACAAATTGATCCTATGAAATAACCAAACGCTGACGTAGGGTACATATCACCATACCCTACCGTTGTCATGGTTACAACAGCCCACCAAAAACCCACGGGAATGTTACTGAACTGTCCTCCACCCTCGGTGAAGTGTAAAAGGGACGCAAACATCACCATTCCTATTAGAAGGAACACAAACATGAGCAAAAGTTCATTGAAACTTGCTTTCAAAGTATACAACAGAATCCATAATCCAGGAACGTGTCGTATTAGACGGAAGATACGACACAAACGGAGCATGCGCAGTATGAAAATAAAGTCAACAAAACTTAGACCTGACCGCACTTGAGGGCTTACAGCTAACAGAACGAATTCCACGTAGTCCGGCACGATAGCGATAAAGTCGATGATGTTTTGCAATGAGGTACAGAATCTGAGCTTTTTCGGACAAAATATAAGCCGTGTGAGAAACTCTAAAGAGAAAAACAGCACACAAATCAGATCGATAACAAGCAATGCCGGATGTTGTACCGTCTGCTCTGGATCGACATCTGTATTATTGTCGCCTGCTACGTCCGAAAAATTAGACGCTGTGCTATCGTTAATAGTTGCTTTGTGATGGATTCTTGTGATTACTTGGCTGTCCTCCAGAGCAAAGAACTTGTAAAGGACCCGAAGATCGTGGACCTCTGACGGCGGAAGTTGAAAATACGGATGCGTTTCCGCACAAAACGAAAAAATCGAAAGGCAGACGAATATTATGGATATCCATGCATAAATCTGAAACAAAATAAAAACAATGTAGGTAATAAATAAGTCAATGTAAACGATTCTTTGCAGGTAAGCTCATAGAAATCTGCACGTTTGCATGGTTTGTCACTATTCCAATTCATGCAAACTTTAGATAACATTTTGGAAAGAAATTCGTTCTGGCACAATAAAAGTTTATCTAATCGTCATGATTTATGCATGAATCTTGCATGTTCAATTAAATTTATAGTAAATGTTCTATACTGCAGTACACGTTGAAATTCTATAAATTTCGAGATAAGGAAACTCGTCAAAAACATTTTAAGCAGCTTGCCTCCAGATTAATGCTTTTTCATGTAGATCTTTGAAAATGTTTTTTGAAAGTAAAATTTTATGAAGTGAACAAAGAAAGTATTTTACAAATTGCAAACAGCAATTACATTCTGCGTAAATTACCAAAAGGAGGACAAAATATGTAAAAATAGCCCTTACTGCATTAGTCAAGCAGTCGAAATAGGGTGATAAATACTTCAAAAGTCAATCATAAATTGCACATAACGTGATAATTATTACTTGAATCTTGAATCTTTTTACTTTTAAAAAACATTCTTAGTACATTTTTCTCAAGTTTGATATTCTTAAAATAGTGTGGCTCATCTGGAGAGCATGCAGCTTTATTGCAAAGCAGATAGGGAACATTGGACACTAATTTTGATTGTGCTTTTCATTAGATATACGAGTAAAATCACCGCACAAATTTTCGTAGATTCATATTGAGCATAAGTCAATTTTAAGAGCTTAAACATTGTATTTCGCGGCCATTTTGAATTCCGTACCCATTTTATAAAAAAAAAGTGCAACTTTTAAACGACAATTTTCACTATTGTCTATTCTGTCCAATGTTACCAATGTGCTCTTAAATGCATATTTTTTTTGCAAACGAAGTCGCATTTCAAATAAAAAAGTAACCAAAAAAATGTAGATCAAATAAATAAGTTGTTACTTATTGTTATCCATAAAATGATAATGTCTTTGATCACATACTTGTTTGATTGTATACTTGCTTTACTACATACTCGTTTGATCGTATACTTTGTCAGAATGTTTTATGACAGTACTTGAAAGAGGACAATGTACTAGATGTTGCTATTATAACGGGTTATTCGATCAACAAGTTTCTTTCTCAACAAGTATCGACAATTCAGACAATAACAACAAAACATGTTTACAATAATATCACGGTGGTTCACAAACAGTCGTAAAATGAGTAGCAAGAGTATTCCATTACATTGTTAGTTTTTGTCTATGTTTTTGAATTCATTATTTAAAACGAAAATCTTAAAATACAAGTCAAATCTACATAATATATTTGGGGACAGTACAAAAGTTTTCTAAAAACAAGACAAAAACACTATTTACTTTACATTTTCACTAATATTGTGGTGTTATTTGATTGCATGAGTACTTATAACGACAAAACTTTACATAAAAGTCAAATCTGAATATTTTTTCTCTCGTTAGCAACGTTCATTTTGGGTTTCAAGATAATTTCCATCCCGCTTAGCACTGGACATGATAAGGTATTTTGATAATTTAATTTAATTAAAATAAATCTTTCGCATTCCAAAAATAATATTTACCTTTGCTGCCACTGAAGAACTTGGATCTTGTAGAAACGGCCAAATGACGGCTCTTAGCCTGCGCCAGACGCTTTTCGATTTCCGGTCATGCGCAAGGTCTGTCTGAGTTGTGGACTGCTTCCGGTCATATTCTAGTTTCTCTAGAGATTTCGTCTGTGTTTTCCATGTATTGTATGGTTGGAAGCAGCATCTGAAAAGACACATAAGATTCTTATTGTTGTAAGAACAGGTTGAAAATAGTAAGTATCAGTCAGAACATATGTAAGTAGATCTATATGTAAATATAATATTTTAATAGCCATCCCAGTTTATGTGGGAAAAACTTTTTGCATACTATCGATATGGCACGGTTATTAAATTACTGAGTCAAAGGTTAAGCGATGTTAGGAGCGTTAGATATGTTGCACTTTCCATTATCCCTCATGATCAACATGGATCCAGAAAATCAACAAGTGGTTCACAAAGGTATTGCATAATCCAAAGGGAGTTCACACTTTCTTAAGTTTCAGTAGGGATCATAAGTCAGTTTTTTTTGTTAACATTCAAGCCACCCTTACTCCTCTATCCTTTGTATCTTACCGATTTTGTTTTTAATGAGCCGGAGAGATTTCACTGTTCCATAATTTTAGTAAGTAGATGTATGTTGTTTATTAGGCAAAGGGTTTTGATAGTCGCGAGTGTTCTTCTCACAGACAATCCTTTGACACCGATCATTTATTTAAGGTTGGATCATGCGTAGCTCTGCATATCAACAGTGATTCTTTTCCCCCTATTTGTTCTATTTGCAGGAAAAGGATGAATAAAATTTTTATAGGGGTCGAACGAATCTTACTGTAATAAAACTCAAAATAGAAGTTATATTTAACCTAAAATTTTGTAACAGCTGAATTACATATTTAATAATTTTTATGTTGTAGGAAGGCCGATTGAGTGAATGAATAAATGAATGAATAAATTAATAAATGAACGAACGAATGATGCAATATACGTATAAGTTAAAACAAATTGTTGAGTGTCTGTTCGAAAGTATATGAGTTGTAATATTCGAAAAATTACATATTACACATATATTTTTCTACCTATGCATATGTGTGTATGCATTACTTGGAAAAAATACTGTACAGTTGTTACTTTATAGTTTGTTCGAATAGCATGATTTTAAACATTAGCAATTTTTCTCATTGTATCCATGCAGGGTCTTTAAAGAAAGGCGCTGGTGTATCTGACAGGTGTCAAGGAATATCAATTTTCATTTACGCACTTGGAGGCGTCATACTGTTTCATACTGGGAGGCAGGCAAGGTGTTATGTTGCTTCGCCACCTATTTTGACAATAAGGCAGGAAAATCCAATAATCACACATAGATTTCTAAAAAATAGTAAACAACTTGTAGTATTAACATTGCATATATACTCAATAATTTTTATGGACATTTAAAATATGAAAGCAAGGAAGGGTCACATACAATGTACATATGTGCATATCCCCCAAGAATATCCAGCAACTCAAGTCCACTGGCAAGTAGGCCCAAAAGAACACAGAAAAACACAGGGAGAGGACAAAAGGGCGAATCATGGACAGGGCTTTATAATAAACAAGTTATAGCATGCTTAGAACTTGCCTTCTAGGTCAGCTGGTACTAAATTTTTTGTAAGATTATATGAAATTCGAGCCGGAAGAGAATAACGAGACAGCTCTTTTTGATGTAGACAAATCCTAGTAAATCGGCACATGTTTCTTGCACGTGTAAGATTGTTTGGTTCATGAACACCCTGCTACGAATGTGTGTCAGTTATAGTCAGTGTGTGTCAGTTATAGTTTAGAAAATGGATATGGGTAATCATTAAATGTACTAATGTTCTATTTAAAGTAACGGGTAAAGATAATATGTTGCAAAACATTTCAGATTCATTAAGGAAGGTTATAAAAAGCATATTACCTTTGGTCTGTTCTTTATTTAGTATTTATCATGTTTATGTAAATTGTAAGCATTTCTTTTTATTTTAGACATGTTGGACCATACACAATTCTTGTATAAGACACTTTTAAGCGCTAAAACCTTCTAACGAAAATGGAGGCAGTCACAGAACAGTCTGTTAGTACTCGACATGTCGGGTTCCGGACAATTCTCTCCATTAACAATTCCCCTCCCGAACAATTGCCTTCCCGGATAATTCCCTCCCATTTATATGGGATATGTCTATTGTAAAAATTAAGAAGAGACATGGTTAAACCAACAATGAGAAAATTTAATGTTTTTACAAAACTCTGATCTGACCTTCCTTAACGCTCTATTCATATGCTTGAATAGCTTTTACTGTATGCCAAGTAACATTATAGCAAAAATGTTGTTAATTGAGATATGAACAAATGACTTGAGAAAAAAGATTCACGATAGGAAATGAATCAACATATTACCACGTTTTTAGCTGATACCCCACGTAATTTAAAAATATAACGATATTTTTTCATCACGTCATATAAAGTGATACTGATAATTGTTTTTCTCTATGTCTGGTAATTGTTTTTCTTTGTAAAAAATTCGGTAAGGCTTTGCTTGTCTAATTATTGACATTCCAAATTTCTGTAGGTATAACTTTATGATTGTACTCTCCAGCTTTTTGTTTATGTAGGCATCAACGCTTTTTTGTTGTGTAGACATAAACACGCTTTTAGTTTATGTATGCATAAACATGTTTTTGTTCATGTAGGCATAAACGCGTTTTTGTCATGTAGGCATTATCATGCTTTTGTTCATGTAGGCATAAACATGTTTTGTCCTGTAGGCATAAACTTGCTTTTGTTCATTTAGGCATACACGCACATTTGTCGTGTAGGCATTAACATGCTTATGTTTAGTAAGCATAAACATGTTTTGTCCTGTAGGGATAAACATGCTTTTGTTCATGTAGGCATTAACGCGCTTTTGTTGCGTAGGCATTAATATGCTTATGTTTAGTAAGCATAAACATGTTTTGTCCTGTAGGGATAAACATGCTTTTGTTCATGTAGGCATTAACGCGCTTTTGTTGCGTAGGCATTAATATGCTTTTGTTCAAGTAATCATAAACATGTTTTTGTCATGTATGCATTAAATGCTTTTGTTCATGTATGTATAAACGCGCATTTGTCATTGTAAGCATTAACGCGCTTTTGTCATTGTAAATAGAAACGCGCTTTTGTCATTGAAAGCATAAACGCGTTGTTTTTGTTGTTTTTTTTTGTTTTGTTTATTGTAAGCATTAACACGTTTTTGTGATGCAGACATAAGCACGCAAAATGCCATACAGCTGTCAATGGTTAAAGAACACAATAATGCATTTTACTGGTTGACAAAGAGTAAAGTCCATGGGCTGCATGTCATAGAAAGTCCTAAGAATATCCTTAATCCAAGGACGTAGGATCAGTTTTAGGACGAGCTTTAGACCGTTTTAATTTTTATTCTAAACATAGCTAAGCCAAAATATTTCAAGAAAATCAAACTGACATGTACTGAGATTTTAAGAAAAGTAAAGAATATTCAGAACTATCAGACTTAAAACTTTCTATGAAATGCAAAACCGAATAATAGTTGAAATAAGAGTGTTAGTCGTTATTAAAGCTAAGCACTAAAAATTACATTCAGACAAAAATACTAAAATAAAGGTCCATTATTCCTAAAAAAAAGCTTCAATTTTTATAGATTTTTTTTAAATTTTGGTAGCTTGTTACAGTTAAAAAAGTGAATGACAATAATAAAATTTGAGCGAGTGGATATTAATTGCAGCGCACCGAATGGCAATATATTACATTGCAACGAATTGCGATAACTACATTGCTGCCAAATGGCAATTACATCATGAATGAATGGCAATGAATGGCAATTATAACTTTGCAACAAATGCGAACAATTGTATTACACCGATTGGAAACGAATGGGATGATTTTATTGCATTGAATAGGGTCTATTTTATCGCACCGAATAGCAACAAATAGGGCGCAATTTTATTGCACCGAATGGCAACGAATGCGAACAATTATATTTCACCGATTTGCAACGAATGTAAACAATTATATTGCACAAAATGGCAATGAATGCGAACACTCATATTGCACCAAATGGCAATGAATGCGAACAATGATATTGCAACGAATGGCAACAAAAGGGCGCAATTATATTGCACCGAATGGCAACGAAAGCGGACAATTATATTGCACCGAATGGTAACGAATGCGGACAATTATACCACACCGAATTGCAACGAATGCGAAAAATTATATTGCACCGAATGACAACGATTAAACAATTAATCAACTGCAGCTATCAACAAATGGAACAATTATTTAGGTTGTGTATGTTTTCATTACAGGTAGGTATGAGTCCCTGTACAATTGAGACGGGTTTCCGTTAGAACATATGTTCTTACTTACAAATTATCTAAACCATTTGGCAACAATACTAGAAGAATTTACTGACGGTTCTGTGTACAAAAAACAAACTAATTATAATAACAATCAGCTTTGTGTGCTCTAGTCTTTGATTGAAATATCACCTTGGTTTAGAAATAAAGCCAGTTTTTTTCCTACTTTTCTACTCTGTGTGTGTAAAAACTGTTATGCGTTTAGAAAATTAACTAAATTTTAATGATACAAGCTTGTAACAAAAAATACGCTCGTTTTCAATGAATGCATGAAATATACATGTATTTTATCCCGGTAGATTGTTTTCATATTTTATTGTGTTGCTTCTTGAGTTGTTATTTATTTTCAGTGCGTCCGTTGCCGAATGGTTTTAAACCTGAAAAGTCGCGTTACCACCAATAAAGGGTAACGGATAAAAATAATAAAGGTGTGTAATATTGCCCTGTTTTATCCCAGTATGTGAAGCCCCTTTGGGATTTGGGTTTTAACTTTTTTATATACTTTAGCTGAATATCACGCTAAACATTTGTATTTTAACTAATATATATCAAGTTCACCGTTTCTTAGTATATCTATAGATCGTATTATTCTAAAAGTAATTTTTGAAAAAAAAAATGAGAGAAAATTTTAAAAAATGCCGGTATTTTGTCGTAAATGTGAACGTAAATATTATGAAAAATGAAAATAATAAAATTGTGGTGGTGTCGAAAGAACACCAATTCCTGAATAAAATGCAAAGATCTATTCTTAACATTTTTCATATATTTTTTTCTTTATTCTTCAAATGAAATTTTAAAAAGTTTGGAAATAAAAAAATACTATGTGGATAATGAGTAACTTGAATGGTATTTGTGAGTCACATTTTTTATTATTTGACTAACTTTAAAAAAAAATGAGAATTTGTTTTGGTTTTCATTTTTTAGCTTTTATTTTTGTAGTTTTTTGCCATCAGACCACCAAAAACTGATTCTACTTTTTGGTTTTTATACCATTTTTGTCTTTGAAGTATACACAACTATTTATATTTAATTATCAAAAGCTCATTTCTGATTATCAAAATGAGAAATTTCGAGGAAAAAAAATAAATATACGTAAAATTCTATTTATAGGAATATCTAAAATTCAAAATATACCACTTTATTTATTTTTAAAAAAATGTTCGTATAGCAAACCCTACTAGTATATAACTTTATGTTGATGTAAAAAAATGGTACAAAACAGATCTTTCTAAATTTAGCTTTACGTGTTGTATGGAAATCGATAACATTGGAACTATGTTAGCAGGAAGTTGACACTGTTGACGCAAGACAATACGTTGTTTATCTAAATATAGATTTACTTAATTATCAGGTTTGTACACAGAAAACGTACCCTGAATGAAAAACTGATATTTCTTTAATTTGTTAACTGACAATATCATCAAAATACATATAACCGACAAAAAACAACATTTAGTTTGTATGTATATAGATTCTAGGGGAAAAATATCATTATATTTATCGCAGAATAGGTGGCGCTGTCATCGCACGGGTCCTTCTCAATCGAGAAGTTTGGTCAGTTTTTTATTACCGTTCACTATAACGACGAATTCTGTTCGAGTAGAAAAAAAAACATTAACTAAATAGGCTGTCACCGTTCTAATTATTTCTTTAAAGTGAGTTGTTTTTCTTTTGGTCACTATAAGCGGCAGATTATTTAAAATCAACCTATATTGAAATTTTGTCTTATTTCAGTATATATATATCATATTGCATTTTCAGTCATTTTTCAAAGTTTGATATAAAACAGACTTTAGTATATTTTTCTATGCTTCAGTGAATGCTTTCCTTCAAAAAAAAAGAAGAAAAATTGAAGAAAATTTTAATCATTTCGCATTAGCACCAATAGAATAAAATCTGTCGCATGGAATTTAAGCATTTCTTTCGCCGTGACAGAGAATAAAGTAACAAACACGAAATTGGAATCAAAGTAAAAATTGCTAGTCACAGTTTTCAATAGTTTGCTCTTAGAAAATCACGTAAAAGAGCCAAATCCAAAACTTTCAGGGTGGGAAAACATAAATGATAGATATGCTCACCGCCGAGCAAATTCTGCCACGGCGGTAAAATGCCATATCTCTGACAATACTTTTGGATCAAACGACCTCTAACTAAGCCTGCTAGTGTCAACATATTTAACCAGTGCAACCAGTGCAACCATACTTAGAGCCGTACCGAGTGAGCATGGTCTGCACTGCTGAGTGTTTGCTATTATCTCCTGAAGTAATGAATAGTTTGGTCCAGTAATGAATAGCTTTGTCCAAAATTAATAGTTTTGTCTAGATTGAAAAATAAAATAATAAGCGGGTGAGGGTTAAAGCTGAAGAAACTAAAAAAAACTATATCAAAATGTATAGAAACGTTTAGATATAAGTACGAATTCTCAATCAAAGTGACTTTTATGCAAAACAAAATCTTATAAACTCTTACCTAAGTAACAGATAATTTTTGGGGACAATTAGGCTAGCATTAAGTGACTATATACAGTTATTCTCAAGCATGACTAATATTTCATTAATTAAAAAAATTTAAAATTTAGTATGAATCTGGTGAGGTCGCCTAAGTGACGTTTGAAGATCGGCACTTAATTAACTGAAGCTCAAAGAAGTCTAAATATTTAGGTCAGTTCAGTAAATCAGTAAATTGCCATTTGTAATTAATGATGGAATAGACAGTTAACAAAAACAAAAATGTAATGAGTGAAAGTACAGTACGAGGAGAAGATAACTGCAACTTGGATGAAAATTTGATCATCATATAGTCATCACAATTTATCATTTGATATTTACATGTTTACCTTGAAATAGCAAGGACTGACCCGGAGACAGACGGAAGGAACAAGACGCTCAAATTCCTTCATTACCCCTGCGCTGCCGCGGGACTTTCGAACGGGGTACATATTCATTTTTAAAAAACAACCTTTATTCAGTGACGATAATTTTTATGAGCAGAATGAAAATAAATATACGGCTTTGCAAAAGATCAGGCGTCTACTTTCCCTAAGTTACCTATTGCATAAAAGCATTAATATATCATAAACAAATTCTCGGAGTAAACAAACTAGATTCACTGAGAAGACAGTGATTATGACAGAATAATACATTTTCCTGGTGGCTTCAGTACAAATTACGTAAACTAGGTAGCAAATCATGCCATACTGAAATTTGTTATTATAACAGACGAATTTCTTGTCATTTTATACACTTTTACATACTTTAGAACACTTTATATTTGACTTTTTTTCTTCTATATCTAGCTTACCTTTCGATTTCCTGTTCGTCGATTCCCCAGTATTGAAATTCTCGCATGAGCGCCGGTCCGCACAGATTCGTCGGCAAGTGAAGGTCCCCATATCGCAAGTAGTTCATGATAATATTAAAGGCGTAAGGATCCCTGTCAAAGAAATAGTCCCCTTTATCAGGTCGGAAATATTTCAGCATTTCTCGTTCATCGGCTAGTTTACAAGTTTTAAATCGTTTAAGCGTTGATCTGAATGTCTCGAACACATTTCCTCCAACGTTTATAATCACAGTTTCTTTGGATCTGGCTCTATCACAGTTGCATTTGCTTGACGACGGAGAAACAGAATGTGACCTTGAGTCCCGACTAGGCGGGCAGCCACTTTGCCATGAGTTTATGTTCCCTTGTTCATGTTCTAAATCCGAAAGGTTTCTTTGGCTTGAACCTTTTTTGAGCCCGGACCCGCCTCCACCACTAAGCATAACAGCGCTCAGCGCCATTGTATCGTTTGAATGTCTATTTGATTCACATCCTTTCTTCTCTGAATTATCACATTTATCACAAGTTACTACGTGCTTACCTCCTCGGAGATGATTTCGGTTGCTACAGCGATCATCAGAGTCATAACAAGAAATGTTGTAATCCGAGTCACTAAGACGATTTCTAAAGCGTTTTGGAGAAGAGGAGCGCATCAAAGATGGCGACCTTCCGCCAATGTTAGGACTTCTGCGGTAGTCATTACTACCCTTTGAACGAGGCTGTGAAATAGAAATGGTAGGAAAAATTTTTTTGTGAAAAACAAAAACCCCCTCTGGGCCAAATTAAAATCTCCCGGGTGTAATTTTAAAACCAAAAATTTCGAAGCAAAATAAAAAAACCTTTGTTAACTTTAAAAACGTTTTTAAAAAATAAATTCCCAAAAAGGTAAAAAATCCAATTTTAAATTTTTTGAAAGAAAACAATTTTTTTCGGACATTATTCTGAACAAAAATCCGTTTTATTACTTTCGAAATGATATGCCATTACTTATTACAGTCGCGATAGAAGCACAATAAGGTGATCCACTGTCGGTGGTAGCCGCGTTTTTTTTTCTAACAGGAACGGTAGGTAGGCTCTTGTTCCTGACATAATCAATATTCCTATGATACAAACTTGCAAATTTATATATTTCATCATAAATACATACGATAATACAGGCAAATGGCAATAATTTCAGTGTATGTCACGTATTCTTATTTCTGCAATTGACTTGATACCGTATCATATTCATTATATCATACTTATACTACTAATTATAATACCGCATATTTATACATTATTTACCTCCGTGAAAATATCAATTATATCATCATTGATCGTAATAATCAGAAACTAATAAGTATAAAATAAATGACCTATTTAAATAGAACAGCTTAAGGTGTTGGGGAAGGGGGGCTTTGGACTTAGGACCGACTGAAACTAACTTACTTTTTAGCGGCTAGAATTAAATTAGTCGTTTATATTCTTTTCGGAGGTGCGCGTAGTGTTTAACCGCCTAAAAAATGAATGGTGAAATAAATGATACAGGATAGAAAATAAACAATCAGAAATTTTCCAATTTTAGTCTTCTCATTGCACGAAATAGCAGGACAAGAGACTTATTAATGATAATAATGATAATAAAATTTAGAGCCTGGCATACAGGCAGTGTTTATCAACATTTCCTGTATAACGATAAAACGAATCATATGGGGGGGGGGGGGGAGGGAGGGTGGGGGTGGCGGACGAGGGGGGGGGGGGGGGGGGGGGGGGGGGGGGGGGGGGGGGGGGGGGGCTTACCTTCCGAAAGTTCGGGGGTTTCTAACTCAGGTACAATACCCTCTCCGTGCCTGAAAATTTAATGCAATGTAGGCGCACCTGAGGTCTTCCTTCCGAACAATAAGCTTATACCACGTCGACAAATGCTGGCTTTATCACAAACCGTGTAATACCTGTAACGCTGGAATCGTGAAATAGTGATAGTAAATCAGTTCAAGGCTATGGCCGAAACGAGAAACACGATAAGTAAACGGACTAAACTATCTTATAATATATATAATTAAAAGAAACGGCGGCTGACATACTGTAATAATGTAAAAAGAAGCAGCAGATAAAATATGATTCGTGGTAACCAGCGTCGATTTCGGTGCAAGCAATTCAACGGAAATTTGGGTTACCCTCGAAAAATTTTTCCCAAAACCCTTTATCCTTCTTTTTTTTCAGTTTTTATAATGTAATTTTAATTTTAAAAGGTATTTGGTAATTGTCTCAATCCTTTTTTAATTTAAACCAAAAATTTAAAAAATTTAAACTCAAAAATACATAATTTTTTAAAAAAATTTAAAAAAATCAGCATGTTGTCATTCTCACGAAGACCAATCACTTTCCTTGAGCTATTTTTGATGAGGTTTAACATGTAATGTCTCAGCAAACGTATGCGCTAATTATTTTCTTTCAATTATTTCTTCTTGTGAACACCACACACCTTGAATTCATTGAAGTTTTGATTAACTATAAACGATATTAATTCAATGCCTTACCGTGGAGCTCTTTCGGCCATGGAATTTCACGATTCTGCAACACTATTGCACTGTGTCACAATTTCCGTGTTATTTTTTCACAATCCTTCGTTACTGGATATACACGGTGTATCAAATCATCCAAAAAAAAATCGAAGAAACGCATTCAAATAAATATAAAACTTTTTTGTTACAAAATAACCTTATAATTCCTGTCATTTAATGTGCATATCAATAAAAGCGAAAAAAACACAACACTTTAAAGGAACTCCACTGAGGTCAAACATCCTCAAAAACAAAATGTGAAGGAGTTATGATGGAAACAAATGTTTTTATATATTAAAAAAGTATGTACCTCTTACAATGAAAAAAGAATCTTGTTACACATGACATTCTAAGTTCAAAGGGGAGATGATCTTGTATAAAACTTATTTCAATGTGAGCAAAGATGAAAAGGGAGGTAAAAAGAGCTAAATATACGGCGTTGCCCACTACGAGTTATGTCTCTTTAATAAAATGCAGTCTTGCTGTTTGATCGTAAGTGAACTCCGCATATTTTTTTTTCTTTTTTCAAATCAAATACAAAGAACTAATCATAAACTTCTTACCCGATATAACATCGCCTTAGTACAATTAGGTAAACGCGGTGATTTTTGTTTTCGATCATTGACTTTGACCTTGAGATAGAATGTAGCGTTACATCATAACATTTTTCTGCCAAAAAAATTATTCTATAGTATGCGGATGCTTCTTTCCCTTTGATAGCGTAAATGTCTTGAGAGAATTCTCTAAGGTATATAACATTGTTATAGAAAATGAATAATTGTTACTCGTGGTGTGTTATTTTGCATGAGGAACTATTTGCTCGTGGAAGCGGAGGAATAGATAATATCTTTTTCGCGTTTGTGTTGTTTAACAATTACTTATTTGATCCCCACTTTAAAGGCCCATTATGTCTATTTTTTTTTCTAATTAGCTTTTTAATTGTGGTGTCCGCCTTAAGTCTCTAAAAAATTAAAGTTACTCACTGGCCAGATACCGGACCACTTCTTAATTCCTTAATAGATACATGTATTTTGAACACGTATTTTGCATGAAAGTCAAAAAAATTACTTTGTTTATTTTTTTTTTCTTTTATGACAAATAATTTCATAGCTTTTGACTTTCCTTATGAGATCTGACATGCTCTAAACCTCTAAGGCATATTGTGCATTTAATTGAAGGTACAGGGATGATTTATAAACAAATAGAAAGACATAAAATCAAAATTAAATAAATATATAAGTTAGATAATAATTTTATAGACGTAGCTGGTGAAAATGAATGAACGAATGAATGAATGAGCGAGCGAGTATGTGAGTGAGTGAGGGAGGGAGGGGGCTATTTGACTGGGTGGACGGACGAACGAATAGGCGGACCGACGAATTGTAATATATTATCCTCATCAGCATAATTATAATGAAACATTCCTGAAAGCCAACGAACGGACAGATCGACGGAAGAAATTTAGAAGGAAGTTAAGAAAGAAAGAAAGCAACGAACAGAGTGACCCTACACGGAAGGATGAATTAGATAGCTATATACATTCAATCTCGGTGACTGATAAATACCAGTGCCAGTACAAACAAATGTATCTATATATGGATACATTGTAAGTATTAATCATCCAATATAGATGTTACACATATAAATAAAAGCCAAACTGAACTTCAAAGTATCAAACTTAAGCTAATAGCACGAAAAGTTCAAGACAATGAAAGTGTTCTCAATCTATACAACGTTTAAAAAGTTATGCCCAAAACAATGGCTTAATGTAATTTCTTCACCATATTTTTCCCGTTACCATGGGAATTGGGGAATAAGGGCTGGGCATTTATTAATTTACGGGTTATGTGCAATGTATACCCCTTATACCAGCTAAAATTTAGTGTCTGTCTATCTAGGCTGTCGCTCTTTTAAAACGAATGATTACCTAATCAATGACGACAGCTTTTAACAATTACATACAAGATAGGTTTAACATGATATACATGTATATACATGCATGTATACATGTATACATATATCAACAACCGTTTTAGTCGTAACTCGTTGATAGAAAGAATCAAACGCTCAAATGATATTTCGTCATTAAAAATGACATCATTCTTTAATATAAATTATTCAATACTCTAAAGTTGGTTGCTTAAGACAAGCTTTATAACTTTAACATATAGTTTCTAAATATTTAATTCAATTCTGATCTACTTAAGTACTAATATAATTCATTTTTAATGGTTAGAATATACCATTATAAAGTTTAAAACACTATTAAAAGCACATGGAATGTACCAGCCCTTAAAGAAGTCTGCTTCAATAGATAAAGTCAAAATTTATTAAATCATATATATAAAAAAAACTTACCAGCATTAACTTATATTCACTGTCTTCTTTCATTTTCAAATCGTACATTACAAGCAACCCACTCCTATCTATAACATTCCTCTCCCGACATTATTTCAAAAACAAACATACAAAAAATATTATTTCTATGTCTAACACACTTTTATACAAGACTTAAATTTGAATAAGCCGTTATCATTATTTTTTCAAATTGACCTATTAAAATGAAATGTCATTTAGATCTATCAAATATTGTTCAAAAATCACGTTTATAGTGTTTATAATCTTGTTTGTGAAACAGCTCTCCAAACTTTTTACAAACTGTTGAATGTTTTCTTCACGGTCTGATTTTAGACATAACTTTATTTATTTTAATCGGCGACAGGCAGTTTTAAGTCATTTATTTTAAAGCGGCTATGTCGTGAAATATTTTGTAAAATTAAAATGCTGTAGAAATATATTAGTATGTAAAATGATTCTGAAGACGTAAATAAATAATTAAAATTAATCACGGAAATGGAAAATATGGGAAAAAAAGAATATTTGTCATATATTTATGGTTTTGAATTTTGAATTATCTGTTTATTTCTATATCTTTACTATGAATTGACAGTTTTAAGGAAAACTTTGACCGTGTTAAATTTACCCTCACACAAACTAAATAGATCGCATTTTAGAACATGGGAATTGATGACATTTCTCCACTTATTTAAAAGATAAGACAATTGTTTACTCAAATTTTCTTTACATATATCTGGGGTTTCCAAATGCATGTACAAAGACCCTGCATACATCATATGAAAAAAGGATCCGACAATAAAATTTGCTGTCTCCAAGGT